AATAAAGTCCATCTTTGGCTAACTGCCAACAAACTCACCCTTAACATTGACAAAACTTTCTATATTCTGTTTGGCAATAAATCCTCTAATCAAATAAATCTCAAAATAAACAATACCCAAATTTGTAACAAATTAGATGGCAAATTCCTTGGCATTCTCATTGACCACAAGCTGAATTTCCAGGGACACATTCTAAACATATCAAAAAAAGTTTCAAAAACTGTGGGCATTCTTTCTAAGATCAGATATTATGTACCACGCCCTGCCCTGGTGACTCTCTATTACTCCCTTATCTATCCATATCTCAACTATGGTATTTGTGCTTGGGGCTCTACTACCCAAAATCACTTACGTCCTCTAATTACTCAACACAAAGCTGCTATTAGGACAATATCCAACTCTGGCCCCAGGCATCACTCGGTGCCCCTACTCAAATCTCTGAATATGTTAGACATTAAGTCACTGCACATTCTCTCATGTGTATTATACATATTTAAAACGCTAAACTATAATGCCAATCCTGATCTCAAAAGCTTCATAGAAGGATATAACAGAACCCATGAGCACCACACCAGAAATAAATACAGTTTTGATATTCCTAGAGTACGACTTAATCAAACTAGAAATGCTCTACAAATCAAGGGGCCCAGAATGTGGAATGACCTTTCCAACCATGTTAAAGACTGTACCTCTCTCAACCAGTTTAAGTCAAAAACGAAGCTATACCTAATAAATTCCCTGTAACCTACCTTACCCTTCTATTGTCAACCAATGTTTTTTTTTAAAGAGCGCTGTTTGTTGACATAATTGTATTTGTGCTGCTTTTTCATCTATGTTTTCATTTCTTGTTTTCATTCTACTCATTATGCTCAATTAGTATTAAGCTTGTCATTTAAGTTTATCATGCCCGAAACGCTTTGCGTAATAGTGGCTTTAGGCATTGTATGTACTAGCTCTACCTATAAGTCAACCAATCTTTGTAAAAATTATTGTATGTATGTATCTTACCTAAATAAAAATTATTATTATTATTATTCAATCGAAGCAAGTGACATCAAGTCAGCTTATAGAGTAGGTACGAAATCATCTGGTACAAATAACAGGAAGATTCGTGTGAAATTAGATAGCTGCTCCCGCAAGTCAGACCTTATCACTGCTGCAGTCGCTAGGAAATCCAATGTTTATGTGAACGAATGTCTAACCAGATTCAGACAAAATCTCTTATTTAAACTACGTGGAATCTGCAAAAGATCCCCTGCTATTAAACATTGTTTTGTGCGCGATGGTAAAATAATAGCTAGGAAGACTGACTCTGGAAAAACTTATGTCATAACCACTGAGGCACACCTCACTTCTTTCCTGGATGACTGTGGGATAACAGCTGAATAACCAGAACATAATTTGTAGTCTCACATACAACCAAAGTGTACTTAAGCTCTGCCTTTCCTTTCCAACGATTTTTCAATTTTACTTTTATTTTTTGTTTGTCATCTTTGTTGTTGAAATTGCTTGTAACTGGAAAACCTTTCAGGATATCATAAAACAAGCGAGAGTAACCCCTGTACACAAATGTGGTGATCTCACAGATGTTAACAACTACAGACCTATATCAATCCTGCCTAACTTATCAAAATTTTTTGAAAAACTAATCTACAAGCAGCTTTACTCTGATCTAGCCAAACTCAATATACTTAGCTCTTGCCAATATGGCTTCAGACCCAAAAAAAGCACTAACGATGCACTTATTAGTACGATTAACTTGATTCATGCAGCTCTTGATAAAAATGAGTTCCCTGTTGGGTTATTTGTGGACCTGCGTAAGGCCTTTGACACTGTCAACCACCAAAACCTTCTTCTTAAATTACATCATTATGGAGTCAGAGGTCACTCCCTGCAATACCTCAAATCCTACCTTACTGACAGGCTCCAGTATGTTTCTGTGAATAAGGAGAAGCAAAAAATGTCTGTCTGTCTGTCTGTCTGTCTGTCTGTCTGTCTCTCTCTCTCTCTCTCTGTCTCTCTCTCTATCTCTCTGTCTGTCTCTCTCTCTCTCTCTCTCTCTCTCTCTCTCTCTCTCTCTCTCTCTCTCTCTCTCTCTCTCTCTCTCTCTCTCTCTCTCTCTCTCTCTCTCTCTCTGTCTCTCTCTCTCTCTCTCTGTCTCTCTCTCTCTCTCTGTCTCTCTGTCTCTGTCTCTCTCTCTCTCTGTCTCTCTCTCTCTCTCTCTCTCTCTCTCTCTCTCTCTCTCTCTCTCTCTCTCTCTCTCTCTCTCTCTCTCTCTCTCTCTCTCTCTCTCTCTCTCTCTCTCTCTCTCTCTCTCTCTCTCTCTCTCTCTCTCTCTCTCTCTCTCTCTCTCTCTCTCTCTCTCTCTCTCTCTCTTGTCTCTCTCTCTGTCTCTCTCTCTCTCTCTCTCTCTCTCTCTCTCTCTCTCTCTCTGTTCTCTCTCTCTCTCTCTCTCTCTCTCCTCTCTCTCTCTCTCTCTCTCTCTCTCTCTCTCTCTCTCTCTCTCTCTCTCTCTCTCTCTCTCTCTTCTCTCTCTCTCTCTCTCTCTCTCTCTCTCTCTCTCTCTCTCTCTCTCTCTCTCTCTCTGTCTCTCTCTCTCTCTCTGTCTCTCTCTCTCTCTCTCTCTCTCTCTCTCTCTCTCTCTCTCTCTCTCTCTCTCTCTCTCTCTCTCTCTCTCTCTCTCTCTCTCTCTCTCTCTCTCTCTCTCTCTCTCTCTGTCTCCGCCTCTTTCTGGTTGGTTTTTGGTGAACCCTGAACCTTAAACCTGCCTTCACCTTTCCAGGTCTTCCCTCAGATAAAAATTGGCCATGTAGTTATGAGATGCTGCCATCTAGTGGCAGTTGACTGATGCTAGAGAGAATAAGCTGCCTGCAGGGTTACATATTTTCTGTATTTTTTTATTTTACCCTTTACTATTTCATGTTTTTTTTATTTTTCCCATTTTGTTTTTCTTGTTTCCGATTTTAATTTACCTTACTATTGTCTGATTTCGCTCGCCCTGCCTTTGTGCTGGCTTTTTTTCTTCTGTTAGAGTAATCTTGAAGCCTCTGCTCCTTGTTCTTATCTGAGGGGACCAGGTTTTGGGCTCAAGGCTCTGGTTGGCTTGTTAAAGATTCAAAAGGGCCTGGTGTAAATAAAATTGGATGGAACTAACCAGGATGTAGTAACATATGCTATCGAAGGACCCACCAGAAAGATGCATTCCATGACATTCAGCACTGATTTTATAGATATTCTGGTTAATTTATGAGTTTAAGAATTCATGCTATGTATTATGTATTTGACAACATTGTGCAATATCATATAAATCATTAATAACAACAATAAATATTCCACTCCCGTTAAAATGATCGTATCATTGAATTTGCAGATGTTAGAGAGTCTTGAGTAAATAAAGATTTGATAGGATAATAAAGCCATACCAAATCTAAGAATTTGTGAATACAGGCTTATAGGGAACTGCACAAGTTGGATATAAGACAATTTAACTCAAATTTCAGAGATAGATTTTTTTCTTGTACTGTATCAAAGTAGCACAGGGCTTTATATAAAACTAAATGGGTAGAACACCTAGAGAAAAACTATATAATAACAGACAGACAGTATGGTTTTCGATCTGGAAGATCCTGTGTAACAAATTTACTCAGCTTCTATGATGGCGCCACAGAGATTTTACAGGAAAGAGATAATTGGGTTGACTGCATCTATCAGGACTTAAAAAAAGGATTTCGACCGAGTTCCACACAAGAGGTTGTTCTAGAGCATATTGGAGGAGTGACAGGTAGGCTTCTAACATGGATGGAAAATTTTCTGACAGAAAAATGAGGGCAGTAATCAGTGGTAATGTATCGGACTGGAGAAATGTCCCAAGTGGAGTACCACAGGGTTCAGTTCTTGCACTAGTACTGCTTATTGTCTACATAAACAATCCACCAGATGGAATACAGAATTATATGAACATATTTGCTGATGATGCTAAGCTAATAGGGAAGATAAGTAACTTAGATGATTTTCATGCCCATTAAGAACACCTGGACAAAATAAGTGTATGGAGCACCACTTGGCAAATGGAATTTAATATGAATAAATGCCATGTTATGGAATGTGGAATAGGAGGACATAGACCTCTGACAACCTATAAATTACGTGAAAAATCTTCAAAGAATTCTGATAAAGAAAGAGATCTAGGGGTGGTTCTAAATAGAACACCATCATCTGAGGACCACATAAAGAACATCGTGCGAGGAGCCTATGATTCACTTTCTAACTTCAGAATTGCTTTTAAGTACATGGATTGCAAAATATTAAAGAAATTGTTCAGGACTTTTGTTTGACCAAAGCTGGAATATGCAGCAGTTGTATGGTGCTTCTATCCTAAGAAGTACATGAACAAACTGGAAAAGGTGCAAAGACATGCCACTAAGTGGCTCCCAGAACTGAAGGATAAGCGCACTGAGGAGAGGTTAGTGGCATTAAAAATGCCAAAACCCGGAGAAAAAGAGAAGATATGATCACTATGTACAATATAGTAATGGTAATTGATAAAATTGATAGGGGAAAATTCCTGAGACCTGGAACTTCAAGAACGAGGTCATATATTTGAACTAACTAAACAAAGCTACTGAAGAAATATAAGAAAAATTCACTTTCGCAAACAGTGGTAGACGTTTGGAACCAAGCTAAATGAAAAGGTGGTGGAGGCCAGAACCATCAGTAATTTCAAAGCATTATATGATAGATTACTGGGAAAATGGGACATAACAAGCATAGCACTCATCCTGTAACTACACTCAGGTAATTACATGTTATCAAATAAAGCAGTGTCCCATGGCCCTCAATCGCAATACTATAGTATAGCTTTCCATTTGCATGTATTCATAAGCCATAGATTGGATAATGATTTGTCATTTACATGAGTTTTCAGTTGATCATGGAAATGTGCTCTCTGTGATAAGTTTTGCTCTTCATATAGACAGAATAATTACACTATAATCCTATGAATAAAAAAGTGGTAAACCTATCTAATTTTTACAGACAAATTCAGCAAGATGGAGAATGCCGAACTGAAGAAGAACTTCATTGAGAATTACTGCGTGAAAGTGAAAGACGAGGAAGGACTCATAACCTACGAGATCAACACTGAAGTTAATCACAAGGATGAAGATGGCAAGATACAGGTTATGTCCATTGGACCTGTGAATGAGGGCCCCATCAAGTCGGTTCTCCTGCTGGGAGAGACAGGCGCCGGCAAGACCAGAGTCCTCAACACTATGATCAACCATCTGTTAGGTGTCAACTTTGACGATAATTTTAGGTTCCAATTGAAAGATTATGTTGAAAGTGATGATCTCCTCCAAGTGGAAAGCCAGACAGAATATATCACTGCCTACATTGTCTCCCATCAACTTGGAATGCCTATTGAGTGTAATTATATGTTGATTGATACACCTGGGTTTGGTGACACTAGAATGAACCACGATAAAGTCCCAATAGAGCGACTAACAATTTTCCTGACAAGTAATTGTGGTATAGATGACCTTAATTGTGTTGCCTTAGTTGCTAAGGCAAACCAAAACAGGGTAACATCATACCAGATACAAATGCTAGAAGACTTTACTTCAGTGCTGGGAAGTAATATTGGTGATATAACGCAGCTTCTGGCAACATTTGCAACTGATGACAATTCGGCAGTTGTTGATGTGGTGAAACATGCTGGAGTCCAGTTTGTCAACTTGTACCAATTTGACAACGGGCTTCTATATGATCCACTTTGTGATGGTCTCCTCCAGAATCACAAACATGCATACCTTACGTATAGATGGAACAGGATGCAAGCAGAGTATACCAGATTTTTTGAAGAGCTACAAAGGTCTATTCCAGTAAATCTCAAAAGAACTGGGGACCTTTTGCTGGAGAAAAAATTACTTGAAGAAACAAAAATTGAAATGATAGATGTTGTAAAGAGTATGGATCGTATAATCAACATAATTAATAATAAGCATAAAGAGATCAAGAAAATTGAAGATGAGGTAAATAGAATCACAGTAACAACAAGACGAGAGATCCCGGTAAAAGCTGAATATCCAATGACTAGTGGGTATCATGTCCACAACTGTGAAACTTGCCAAAAAAGTTGTAAAATATGTGATGACCCAAAAAATCTTCGTGCTGCAGTTGCAGGAACTGGTACTGGGGTTGGCACTGCAGTTTTTTCAGGAATTATCACTTCATTAATTTCTGGAGGAGTGATGGGGGCAGAGGTGGGTGTTCTAGGTGGTCCAGTAGGAGTTGCAATTGGTGCAGGCATTGGATGTGGCATTGGTTTAGCCACTGGCCTCGCTACAGGACTTGTATTGAGGAAAACAAAGGCAAGTTGTCTCAGTAGTTTGTATGGGCAATGCGCCAGTGATGGATGCTCTCATGATATGAAGTCCCATAAAATTGAAACCCGAATGTACATCATGGAAGAAATAATAGTAACTGATGATAATGAGAAGGCCAAGTATGATGACTTTAAGAACACCTTAAGACAGTTAAGAACACAGGTTGAAGAGAATAGAAGTACACTGAATGATTTTGAGGAAGATGTGCTACAGATTGCTCATGCTTTGTTGAGACACACTAATAAAATAGTTGAACTGAGCCTGGGACACAACAGCTTGAACCCAAGTTCTGTAATAGATGAAATAATCATGAGTGAGCAAGAGAACCGGCAACATGTTAATCTTTTACAGATGTTCAAGAGCACAATAATGCTATTACAAGATCAAGAATTCAGTGATGCAGGTGCTGATGACCATATTGTTTAAGAACACACTTATACTGATGACATTGTCTGTAGTACTGATGCAATTGATACTGAAAAACACATTACTGTAGTACTAATGACACTATACAATAGTCAGCGTCTCAACATTATGGACTTGTATTTTGTTTTGTATATGGAGTAAAATTGAAATATAATATTTAGAATTGACTAATTTATTTCAGGTCAGGCTCAAATTGTAGCTAATAATAAAAAAAGCTTTGTAATGGCTATGAATAAAAATGAAAAGCATGGCTCAATGGCATTAACCCACGTACTGCATATTATATATATATATATATATATATATATATATATATATATATATATATATATATATATATATATATATATATATATATATATATATATATATATATATATATATATATATATATATATATTGACGGTGTTCCCCCCCCCTTTATATTTCTCCCACGCCTGCTGTAAGAGTCATATCCACTTTTCCCGAGCATTCTCTACGCTGCGGGCAACAGTTTGATATATGTGGGAGCGTGTAGTATTCTCTCGTTGGAGAGAAATTCGTAAAAGAGGAGTATTTTGGCCTGTTGTTTAGGCCCTTTAGGACGCCAATGTGGTGCTGGCCCCTCCGTTTTGCCGCCAAAACTGTGTGACGACAGTGGCACCGGATTGGTCACTGACAGTGACGTGGCACAGGGAGTCAATGAAAACCGCCCCTGGCAAGTATGACGTCACGAAGGCAGGGGGGTCCGGAGATCGCGCCTCTTTGGCGCTACTAGTCTGACACAACACGTCAAGGTGGACGGATGTGTGAAGGTTGGTCTTGTCAGATTTGACAGTTGTACCCCGTCCCGTGGGATTTATGCGTCACCCGTAGTCTGCAAGTATTCTGTGAGGTCTTGTTACGGCCCTATTGGGTCGCAACTGGGTTCTTCTCTGATATTATTAGAGTTTGGGTATCCTGCCCCAAGTTAGTAGTGGCTTTCAAGGGATGTGTTCCGTAATGCAAGTAAATTAAAGGGGAAAGGGATACTAATGCACTAATTTAAATATATTATTTAACCACCACCATTAATAAATAACAGTCACACGGGGTTATAAATACACTCTAATGTACAGAATTGTCTTCCTCTGAAGACATAGGATGCTCCACGGTGCTCACGATGAGTAGCCCTGGTTCTCTTCTTCTGGCCCACGAAGAATCCTCAGATTCTCTAAGCGAATCTACCCCGGCCACAGGCCAGCCAAATCACAGTCCCACTGGGTGCACCGTCGTGGAGGCCTTCAACCACAAATCCAGCCTGTAGCTGGCAGGTTCCAATCAGCTCCGCTGCGTAGGCCACTCCACGACCAATACTAGGGTTGCGAGCCCTAGGCAGGAGCCTCGTGTGATCCTGCTGATCACTCTCCTCTCTATAGCACCACAGTGGCTAGTCTCTTCCACCAGTCAACCCCTGGGTACGACGAATCCTCAACTCTGCCACGTCACAGGCAGGCTAACACTCTCAGCAGTGTTCGTCCGGGAGCAACTCACAGCTTCTGCAGCAAACACGTGGAGAGACTTTGGCTGCCTTGGGTAGACTGCCTCAACGTCCAATACAGCAGTCCCAGGTCGACTCTGTAATCAGACACGTCATTAGTACTTGGGCTAGGGACACTCTAGGGCACCTCACTTACAGGCTTAGACACAAACGCCCACCTATCCACTCCATAGATGGCGTTGCTGTCTAAGCGTCACCTCACCAGAGGTCAGCAGCGGCTATGTTACGAGCTGATTAAGACGGGAAACCAACCCCTGTGGCCGGTATATCCTGTCCTCACTAGATGGCTTCGTCCTTTTGGAGGGGATTTCGGGAGCTGACTCACAGATGGCGTGGTCGTCACAGCTCCGTGTTACGACACTGGGCTCGGGTCCGTAACAGGTCTTCCCGTGTTCACGTGTTGGACTGAAGAGGAAATCGACGGATTATTGAGCAACAAGTGCTCCAGGGACAGATGCTGTGCAAGAGTGTGAAGTCTAGACAGTGACGGCTGGGACGTCTGATAGCTTCACAGTTACGACGTAGCTGGGCCAATCCACCGGGAAGCAGTGAAAGAAGAAAACTAATTGGGAATCAGGACGACTGCAGCCGAGAAGTAGGTTGGCAGCCGTAGTTGTGAGGAGAAGTCGATGGCCGGGAGAACGACTCCAACCCTGCAAGAAGTTGTGGAGGAGCACAGACCTGCGGAGGACAAAGCACGGAGATGACTCGTTTATTTTGGGACGTTGATTGGGTTCCTGGAGAATGCATCAGTGTGTGTGTGGGGGCGTTCCCTACAACGAGGCGAAAGCCGGGACCAGGAGCTACAATTCAACTCTCACCAGAGGGTGAGTCCACATCAGTGAGGTGGAAGTAGGTGATTCTAGTTTCCCTCCCAATTCCCCTTTAGTCAGCTATATATTTAGCCAGAGTATCTTTCATGTCGTGAGCAAGGCTCACCTATGTCTATGTCACAGTAAGGCACAGTTGTACAGAGTGAGGCTGTACAGAGCTCTCACGATATTTCATATAAGTGGTGTGTGCAGGCACCTGGAATTATTGAGGAATTTACTGTGTCGTTGATGATTTCTTTCATGTGACATTAATATAACTTATGTCAGAGAATATATATATATAAGTGTACCAATTATTGGTGTTAGGCTGTGTGCCCAATATTTATCTTATTATTATCGATATTGATGAATTTATCTCTGAATATGTATATGTTGGTGTGATGAATAACATTTCCATGTGTGCAGTGATTAATTGTGTTATCACTTTCGAGAGGAGTTACTGAATCTAAGGGCAGTACTGTGGTTAATTGTAGTTCATTATTATGAAGTACAGTGTATTACGCCATTATAGTGAAATATTGTGTTAATTGCTGTAGAAATGAGTTATTGAACTTGAGATCAGTGTGGTGATTCATTGTGTTCTATTGCCATTATAGAAATATTGTGTTGATTACAAACATAGTGATCCCTGCAAATTTAAAGAATCAGGCGCTTCACGCCAAAGAAACAAGTACTAAGCATTCGCACGGCGAGGGGGGCTGCCCAGCTGACATTGACAGAAGGGGGGAGTATTGCCCTCTAGATGAGCCCCAGTTTTATGGAGAGAGAGTGACTTTCTGCATTGTACTTGATGTTTCGTTGTTGATACGGATATAATACCTTGAAGTTTTAAGTAAAATACAAAATATCTTTGTGTTTGTATTATCCCTCCATATATCTTGTTGCTATAAAACAGTTCCTAAGAGTGAGAGTATTAGAGACATATACCTGCCTGTGACCAGATTTAACGAGTGAGCTCTCTGCCACTGGTACCACAATACCACTGACTGTTACTGGACATGGGAAACACCAGTTGGCGACCTTGCAGTTAGTAGTAGAGCCCTTGTCGGGGCGGGCACACGGTTACGAGAGAGCAAGCTGTGTTCCCACTCATTCTTTGGCTATAAGGCTGGCAGGGGATCGACTGGGATACTCTCCAGGCGAACAGTGACGCCGCGAGGATTGAGTGAAGACCCACAGGGCTACGGTGAGTAACAGTTGTCGCTAATACTACTGGGTGGTATCCATGTCGAGAGAGAGAGACACCCCGATATATACATATATATATATATATATATATATATATATATATATATATATATATATATATATATATATATAGATATATATATATATATATATATATGTCGTACCTAGTAGCCAGAACGCACTTCTCAGCCTACTATGCAAGGCCCGATTTGCCTAATAAGCCAAGTTTTCCTGAATTAATATATTTTCTCTATTTTTTGTTATTATGAAACGATAAAGCTACCCATTTCATTATGTATGAGGTCAATTTTTTTTTATTGGAGTTAAAATTAACGTAGATATATGACCGAACCTAACAAACCCTACCTAACCTATCTTTATAGGTTGGGTTAGGTTAGGTAGCCGAAAAAGTTAGGTTAGGTTAGGTAGGTTAGGTAGTCGAAAAAACATTAATTCATGAAAACTTGGCTTATTAGGCAAATCGGGCCTTGCTCAACCCGTTCTCACACAAGACAGCACATATATGACTTAATGCTTAAAGTCAATATGTTGAATATGACTTAGTAAATATGTGATATATTCCCAGTTACTTTTTTTCCAAAACCCAAACTCTTCCTCACGTACCAATTTACGTTTCACAGTACCCGTCCGTCAACGTAGATAGCAGAATAGTCGTGATTGGTTCAATTATAAGGAAAATTGTAGTTTTCAGATCCCACATGGGTTGTGAAATTTACCTACTATTGTCCATGCTCTTAGAATATTACAGATCAGCTACTTCCTATTGAAGGCTCGTAGTTTTGTTTTGAGAAATATTAGTTGTTCTTAGTAAATTATAATAAGCACTAAAAATTATTACATAGAATAACAGTGCTTCACCAATCAATATTATATACCATAGTTTGTGCTTTACAAATCTTTAAAGGATGTTTTGTAGGAACGCTAACAGAAAACGATGTTACGTTGGAATGTCTATGGGGTAAACTACTGCAAACAGGATATTATTGTGTCTACTATACCAACTATAGCTAGGATGGGTATATTGTCCACTACCACCTGTTAGGTGGGTAAGGGGTCCAATACCACCCACAGGATGGGTATGAGGGTCACATCCACCCACAGGATGAGTATGGGGACCACATCCATCCACAGGAAGGGTATGGGGTCCAATACCACCCACAGGATGAGTATGGCGTCCACTACAACCCACAGGATGGGTATGGGGCTCCAACCACCCAAAGAGATATTTATTTCTGGTGTGGTGATAATGGGTCCTATTACATCTGTCCAGGGAGAGTTTCAGAGCATGGTCTACATTTAAGAACAGGGTTTTGTAAGTGTAGTTGACACAAGAGAATGTGTGGAGGGAGTTAATATTTAGCAAGTTTAGGGATTTAAACAAGGGAGCTGAGTGTTGTCTGAAAGCAGAGTTAATTATTATTCTGATAGCAGATTTTTGCTGTGTGATGATGGGCTTAAGATGGTTTGCAGTGGTAGACCCCCATGCACAGATACCATAATTAAGATAGGGGTAGATTAGTGCATAATATAGTGAGAGGAGAGCAGAGTTAGGAACATAATATCTGATTTTGGAGAGTATACCAACTGTCTTAGAGACTTTCTTAGTTATGTGTTGAATGTGGGTGCTGTAGTTGAGTCTCTTGTCTAGGAATAGGCCAAGAAACTTGCCATCATTTTTATTACTGAT